TCCCCTTCAACAGCGGCCTGAGCTTTTATAGCAACGCTAGGAACATGCCATCTCCCATTTCTGACACTACCATGACAAAATTTGGACTGCATGTTCGTAGTTGTGGGAGAAAGGCTAACATAATTCAACTGCAGCAAAAATGGGTTACCAAGCTAGAGGATTAAAATTGGGTGCGTAGAATGACAACAGTACATAATAACATTCAACTGAAGTGTAAATTAACAAAGTTCCCTGATGAGATATCTGAAATTCATTTGGAACTAAGTGAATCTTTCTTTTCCCTGATCTGATGGAGAATTACCAACAAAAATATTATTCTTGTTTTTCATAACAGACAATTTGATTGTGTTTACCGCCAAGATTATGGAACGGCAATTCTAATCATGAATCCTCGTGCTAATTTTTGAACCACAAATATATTGTATAAAGTATGTATAATTCTCAGCCGAATGATTTTAGACAAGAAAGTGATCGTAAATATCATGAAATAAAACATAATAAATAACTAAGTGGATGATGAAAGCTCTATTTCAGAAAAGAACCTGCAAACAAATGCAACAACAGAATGTAGTGCATAGAAGGAGTGGATGATGATGCGAAACCTTGTTTCCAAAGAACAAAGGCATATGATATGAATAATCAAGGTTTGTCAGTAATGATCCAGTACTTCCTTTTTATTTAATAATTTACGCTCATCAGACTTGTCAGTTTTCTTGATAAGAAATGGTGAAATAAAACATAAAAAACCAGCAAATTGCTAAATCTTGTGATATTGAATCACGGTAAATTACCCAAGTATCATTAGATTCAAAGTCTATCTGACTTTCACATGATATGAATCATTGGCAAGCTAAATTGTATCAGATTATGTGATTCAAATTGGGAAATGAGAATCACAAGATTCTAATAACTGGGTTACCTCCAATAACGGAAAAGCACTAAGAAACTGAAACGTGTCAAAAAATTAGGAGTAATGGGAAGTCAGATGTTACCGATATTCTAATCAGATTCCCAATCTGAAAAGGTGTCAGCTTGTAAATATTTTGCAACCAAAGAATTTAAAGACAATCTCACCAACTTCCCAATTTGGAAAAAGTTTAAATTAAAACCCCTTGTGATGATTAATGGACACCAAACTTGACATCTTGTAAGCAAAACAAAAAATCCCAATATAAAGGAGACAGATTCCTGAACATCGTGAATTCCAAAATCACCTTTTGGTTGAGAGGGGAGAGAAAGGAAGGTGTGTTGAGAATGGTCGCCATTGCAGAGCAAGAATTCATCATCTGGGCTGTCTTCTAATTTCACGTATCATTTGGAACCTCATATGAGTATACTGAGTAATGAGTGGACTTCCAAGCTTCAGTTGCTCCACAAATTTCAGGGTAAATATTGAACCACTAATTTGGGAATGGAACACTATTGCAAAATCCAACATAGTATGGACACTTCTGCAAATAAGCTAGAATAGGGAGTATATTCACAATTTGCAAAATTACTGATTTTAAGCTTTCTTTTTCTTCTTCTTACCAAAGTATGTACATATACTAGTACAAATTTATTTGGTTAATAAAATGTGAGGGTTTCATTATTGAAAAAAGAACATAATTATCAGTAATAATGAAGCATTGTTTTATAAATAAACTTATTATTTTATTGTTATTATTTTATAGAAGTTCAGTTTTATGTTCTTTCTGTTTATATATTTTTAAAAATTATTTTATTCAAATATTATTTTTAAGTTTAGGATAATATTAATGACCTTTTTATCATTTTCTTTACAACATGGGGTTAAATCTTTTTAGAAGTATAACATATTTAAATAAGATCAAATTTGAATTTACTTATAAAGACTTTATAAATGACATTTTACTTATTGAACGAGTATTTTATTTATTAAGCAACAACATGATTAATAAAGCTAGAGAGACAAAGAACAATAGAGGATCTAAATTAATTATCAAAATTATTATTATTACAAAAATTAGTATTTAAATTAGTCACCATTATAGTTTACTAACCAATTCAAACATTAATTTTTTATAATCAAAATATTTATAACAAATGTTAAAGACTAATTTAGAATCTAATTTACAAACGAATTATAATATTTTATTTATAATAAAAACTATTTTACATATTAATAATTTTTAATTTATGAATTGATATTTAAATTAATCACTATAATAACTAATTATTCTTAATTTCTCAAATTGTTTACTATTTAGTTGTTTTATTATAATGAATCCCAATAATGATCTAATTCTAGAATATTTGTATTATATAACATTCCTTCATGCTTAATTATTATGATGAGAACTATGTTAGGTTCATTTTCTTTTTCAAACAAATCATATCTCTCTAAAATTATCATGACTTCTAAAAGCACAATCTTGAAGTAAAAAACAAATTGTGTCAATTGAAGTCTTGAGACGAACCAATTATTCATAATTTGATAAGAGCTTTATATTTTCAAAACATTCCTAATATGGCAATTTTAATTTAACAAATTTTATTGACCTTATTATTTATTAAAAAAGAAATAATATTATTTATTAAAAAATAAATGTTAAATCAAATTTATTACTATAATTTAATATGTAATTTTACATCACAAAAAAACTCGGAAAATAAATTTTAGAAAAATTTAGGATACATTTTAACAAATTATTTTATTAATAAAAAATATCACATTTTTAAGTTTGTTTTAGATTTTTCAAAACTCTCCACTCATACCTAATTTAAAAAATCGCATATTACTCATATTTATAACTAGACATTCCCATCAAAACGAAAATAAATTCAAATAATAACCACTACAACCACTAAAATGGATTTATTTGTCATTCTATACATGTTATAGTTTAAGACTAAAACTATAATTAACTTTATATTTATTAATTATTCTCTCGTGTGAAGCAGTATAATTGAGTGCAACTCACTAGCTTCCTAGTTTATGTTCTCTTTTGAAATAATTCAAGTAATTTTTTATTTTTTCTAATTCAAAAATGATGTATTACATATTTTTTATATTAAAAAATAATTTAATTACTTAGCTTAAACAAATATTAAGCTTTTCTTCTAAAGAAAAATACATCTGTTCTTTCCATCAAAATATGAAATCATACGAAACAAAGGCTTAATTACTTATTTCATTTTAATTTTAGTTGAAAAGTTATAATAATTAGCCTCTATTTTTGTTTATGTTTCAAACAAGTTTCAATTTTTAAAAAATGATTAATTAGATCATCCTAACAACGTTAAAAATATTGTCGCCGCATAGCAGACAACTTTAGCATGGCCTATTAATCCCTTCAGCCTTTACATGCATGTAGTAGTCATTTCTAAATTTATTTCTTCCTCCTGGAGACACTTTGTAAGAACATAAAAAATATTTATAATAGTAAATTTTAGTATTTTATTAGTAATAATAATTTTAATAGATAGAAAAATGTAAATTTTGGATATAAAATTATAGTAATTCTAGAAGGAGAGGTTCAAATTTTTGATAACTTATTTAGGATTTTTTTTAAGAAAATTGAATAGTAAAAAGTGAATAGTGGATACTGAACAGTAAAAAGTGAAAAAAAAAATTAATTAAAAAAAATGAATAGTGCCAAAGTGATAAGTAAGCCACGTTGGTGCAAAGAGGATCAAATAGAATTTGAATTAAAATAATATTTTTAATAAAATAAGGAATAGTAAAAAAAAATAGTACCAAAATTTTGGCCTATAAATAAAAATCAGAGGAATGAAGTTTTTGCACCAAGAAGTAGAGAGAATTATGAGAAAAGAAGAAATTAAGAAGTTTTTGGAGTAGGAAGAAATTCTAGAGTAGAGGTTCTGAAGAGTTTTCGGGGAAACAAATTCGGAGTAAGAGAAGTCTGGAATAGAGGTAAGGGGAGCTAACCTTTCTATGCTTTTATATTATGATTTAGTATTATTTTATTTCTATTCATATCTTGAAATTTTGTGTGAATATTGTTAATGCTTACTGTATATCTATCTATGTTGAAATTCGGTGTAAATATTATATGTTGTTGTTTTGAATCTGTAAATAAGAAATTTGTTAAAAACTAGTTGAGGAACACTTTGGCTAAGGAAAGACTTGGTACTTAAGTTGTCCATTGTGACGCACCTCTCTTTCATGGAAGTCTACTCGACAAGTTTTTAACTTAAATCCTATTGAACAGATTATGTATTGTTAATTTATTTTGTGATATATTCATATTGTACGATTTATGTGAGGATTGTATTTTATTATATTGGATTTGAATTTATGCGTCTGAACATGATGTGATTTATGTGGGAAGTATGTGAATGTATAAGGTATGTGATGGTATCTGGTTATTCATGTCTTGGGTTAAGTTTCAAAGTGACAGTATGGTTCATGGACGTAATTTCATGATCCTCAAGGAGAGGATACATGGTAGTGCCCTAGTAGTGTTTAGAATGAAAGTAGGAGCTCAGTCTTGGGGGTCATCCTGAAACTCCAATGGTCTTTCTTCTCATGTAGAGAGGATTGAACCATGTGGTGAGGAGTAGCTGAAGGTCCTAGTCTTGAGTGCTTCCAGTATGACTCAAGGTGAGTGATAACGGACTAACCTCGTGAGTGTGGTAGGGTGGGGGAGCCCAAGTTTCATAAGCCACCACGAGTGCAAGACCCGCCATAGCTCGACTATCATTCTAGTTCGGACGAGTCAATTTATAAAGTAACAAGTCCTGTGATGTCATTTTACCATGTTTGAGTGATTTTTGCATGTCATGTGAGGTTGAACAACATGTTTTTTATGTTTAGCTCACCCTACTTGTTTGTGTTTGTGTTTGGGTATGCGCGATGATCGTATAATTCCTTATACGGGAGCAGATGAAGGAATGTCGTCTCATTCAGTGCCAAGGAAGGGAGGGATAGAAGAACTCAAGTTATAGTTTTATAGTTTAAATCTGAGCCCAAAACATGTAATGTTTATATATATAAATTATGAATCTTCTAGTGTGAGAATTTGGAATGTTACATTAATGTGAAAATTTGGGATGTTACACACTTAATATCCATAAGCATCAAACATCTACTTGTGTAAATTCTAGAGCATTTGCATCAGGATCACGTGTAAAGATTCTTGGCCTTCCAGAAGGACAAAGCGTGTAGGGGATACCTAGAAAGCAGAAAATAATTAACATAAGGCATAGTGTAAATAATGTTGAACCACAAGTTATGTTATTCAAAGAAGTTGTACCAGCTTTATCAAGGATTGCCTTCAGCTTGGAAACATCCCTTATTGCAATACATGTGTGACGATCTCGACCACCATGTTCCGGTCGTCCAGTTAAAGGGTCAGGATTTGGAAGCTCGATCAAATGAATCATCTCAGACCCTACCCACAACCAAGCACCCCTGAATGGAACCTCATCGTTTGGTCTTGCTTCATTTATCTTCAGCCCTAAATTTCACTCATTTTAGTTATTCATTTACTTGCTTCTAGGTAAACACAATGTACACAGCACATTTAAGTTTGTGAAGCTCGCATACCAAGAACCTTTTGATAAAAGTCAAGGGATCTTTCAAGATTTTCACATAAAATTCCAACATGGTGCATACCAACGACCCCATAATCTGCAAAATTAACAGCAATGTCAAAATAAAAGCAACTCCGAAACACGTGAACAAAGCATAAAAATGAACAATAACCAACTATATACCATTTTCTTCATTGATAGAGACTGATTCTTTGTCAAGTACATTCCCTTCAATAGCTGGCTGGGCTTTCTGATCCAGAATTACCAACAAAAATATTATGCTTGTTTTTTCTTAACAGACAATTGATTGTGTTTACCACAAAGATTATAGAATGGCAATTCAAATCATGAATCCTCATGCTAATTTTTTAACCACAAATATCATGAAGGGACTTACTTGAGGGATAGATTATTGAAAATCTAAGTATAAATTTAAGTTTAACATTGAATAAAAATAAGAAAGTTAAACATCATGTAAAGATAAAAACTTATATTGTCTTTTTGGATGAAGGTGGTGTCATGTAGGTTGGATTTGTGTATTGGTGTTTTACCAACAAAATGGCAATTCAAATCATGAATCCTCTCTCGAAATCTCGAGTGATCTCTCTCCATATAATATATAACTAATATTATATAAATTATGTATATTTCTTGGCGGAATAATTTTAGACAAGAAAACGAACATAAATAAAACATAATGAATAACTAAGTGGATGATGAGGCCTCTGTTTCGGAGGAGAACCTATAAACCTATGCAACAATAGAATACTGTGCCTAGAAGGAGTGGATGATGATGCGAAACCTTGTTTCAGAAGAACAAAAGCATATGAATAATCAAGGTTTGTCAGTAACGTTTTTATTTGATAATTTACGGTCATCAGACTTGTCAGTTTTCTTGATAAGAAATGGTGAAAGAAAACATAGAAAACCAGCATATTGTTGAATCTTGTGATATTGCATCACAGTAAATTACCCAAGTATCATAAGATTCAAAGTGTATGGGACTTTGACATGATAAATTGTATCATATTGTGTGATTCATATTGGGAAATGAGAACCACAAGATTCTAATAACTAAGTTACCTCCAATAACGGAAAAGCACCTAAGAAACTGAAACGTGTCAAACAATTAGGAGTAAGGGGGAGTCAGATGCTACCGATATCCGAATCAGTGATGATTTATTCCCAATCTGAAAAGGTGTCAGCTTGTAAATATTTTGCAACCAAAGAATCTAAAGACAACCTCACTAACTTCTCAATTTGGAACAGCAAACTAAAACCCCTTTCGACGATTACTGGACAGACATCTTGCAAAAAAAAACAGAAAATCCCAATATAAAGGAGACAGAGATTTCTGAACATCATGAATTCCAAAATCACCTTTTGGTTGAGAGGGGAGAGAGAGGAAGGTGCTTGGAGAAGGGTCGCCATTGCAGAGCAAGAATTCATCATCTGGGCTGTCTCCTAATTTCACATATCCAAAACGAGTGGACTTCCAAGCTTCAGTTGCTCCACAAATTTCAGGGTAAACACTGAACCACTAATTTGGGAAGGATCACTGTTGCAAAATCCAACACTGTGTAGACCCTTCTGTAAATAAGATAGAATAGGGAGAATATTCACAATTTGCAAAAGTACTGATTTTAAGTTTTTTGTTTCTTCTTCTTACTATATACTAGTACAATTTTATTTGGTGAAAAAAAAGTTAGGGGTTCATTATTAAAAAAAAAAAACATAATTATCAGTAATAATGAGGCTTTGTTTTATAAATAAATTTATTATTTTATAGGCCTTAATTTTAATTATATATTCTTTCTGTTTATATATTTTTTAAAATTTATATTCAAATTTTATTTTTGAAGTTTATATAATGTCAATAATTTTTTTATCATCTTTTTTGTAAAGATGGAGTTAAATGTTTTTTAGAAGTATAAAATATTTAAATAAGACGAGACTTTAATATCTTATAAATTAAACTAAAGAGCTTGCTAATAAAAAAAATTATTAAAACTTTATATTATGAGTATTAAGTAAGATTAATAGGTTAATTATTAATTTATATTGTTAGTTTTAAGTTAATTTCGCGAACACAAAATTATTTGGTTGGTAAATTAGAACAATTTATTCTAAGAGTTTTTAATTTATAATTAGTTATAAGCTACCTATTTACTTTAGTTTGCAGTTTATTTAACTTTTTTGTAAGATTATTCATTGTATATTAATTAATTAATTTATTATTATTAATTTTGTATTACATGAAATTCCTTATTTCAATTTCATATAAAATACTCACACTCAATGATAAAAAAAGAAAAACGATTTGAAAATATTAAAAGTGGTGAACTAAAATACACACTTCTACATATATAAACATAAAATAATGAATAAAAACATAAGAAAAAACCAAAAGTTAACATTTTTTTTCAAAGAAAAAAAACACATGAATATAAGTAACAAAAAGTTAGCTTTGGTGATAGATATACGTGGTCAACCACCCCAATGATAAGCACACCAAAAGTATGCATGTGACTTAACAACGTCCTTACAAAATGAAATTAATTTGAATAATGGTTTGACTTATCTTTAATATTTTATTACTGAGGAAGAACAATACATTATTTTGTGTACGGTTTTTGTAGTATAATCATATTATCACGTGTTACGCGTCATGTTCAATTCTTGACCAAATATTTTATTTTTTTCGTAAGTAATTTGATTTGCTTATTATAAGCTTAAAGAAAATAGTTTTTGAAGGTTGAACATGATTTGTGAATACCTCAACGGACATGTTTTATTTTTGTCAAAGTCAAATGTTTTCACAACTATGTAGTGGGAAAGGGGTTATTCATATAATACAGAGTATTTGAAACAATTCAAAGTTCAAACTATTTTTTGGAATGACATTCAAACTTTAACTACCCTTCGATTCACCTCTCTACACGCAACTAACAAGTGGGTGAAACTAAATTAAACTAAATATCTCACATTTATAAAAGAAGTTTTCAATTTTTTATAAAGTCCATTTAGATAAAAAAATCATATTCTAATTTCAATATACTTTCTAATTTTAAAAGAATTTATATACTTTCAAAATATATAAAATATGTTTCATTCGATTGTCTTTTATCATTGTAATTTTTTCACAACACTTTAATGAATAACCAATGTAATGCATGCTTTATAATTCAATATATATGCTTGTAAGAAATATATTTTGTATATATAAATATGTTTCAAAATATACTACGAACATTGTTGATATGATTCAACATTAAATTATATGTCATTTGAAGACAATATATTATCTAATATTTTAATAATGTATTATATATAATCTATAATCATTGACAAAGATGATTATTTTAAATATATGCTTAGTCTGTGCTTTTGGTTTATACGTCTTATTATCAATTTTACTCTTATCAATATTAATTATTTTATATTTTTAAATTTATAATTGCTTTAATCTTTAATAATATTTTTATTTTAATAATTAAAATAATTCATTTTTATTTATTTTTAAAATAAAGGTGGACATGTATTTCCAACTGGTTTAATATTAAATGAAGTACCATTTACAACTTAAAGATAAGTTTGATTATATAAAATAATGTGTTCATAAAGTTTTATTATTCAGTCTAAAATTCTGAAATGAATGTTTCAATTAAGAAAATTAAGTATGTACCCACCTTACACCTTTAAATACATTTTACCATTTAATTATATTTTTATTTCTTTAATCTGAAATCATGTTTTCTATCACTCGTATATTATTTAAAAAAATTATTCATTCTAACATAATTTATAAGTTTATGTATATATAACTGTCATTTCTTCTAACAATCAAATATATACATGTGTCTTTATCATACTCGACATAACTCCCAAAAAAATATACATTCAAGTTTCTCCGTTTTTTCCTAATTATTTTATTGAAAAAATAAAGTAAAAAATACTTCATTGTTGTATCTTTTTAAGTGGACAATAGTATAAAATTTTTACATACATACATATATATATATATATA